AAAAAAAGCCAAATTATTAAAAAAAAAATAACCCTGAGATTGATTTTTAAACCGATCAATATTTTTATTTTTTTTAAAAAAGAGTTATTAACAGCCATCCTCAAACAATTATTTTCCCCAAGTATGTAAGTTGATATCACGGCCCAGTAAAAAGGCTAAGTAAGATGAGCTGGGCAAGGGAGTCAAAACACAGGAATTCGTTTGCTCTGCTTTAAATGTTGGTCTCCTTGTTCTACATCAGACATGTCAAACACAAGGCCCGGGGGGCCGGATGCGGCACGCGAAGTGGTTTCATGTGGCCCGCGAAGCCATCCTGGAAACAGTGAGGGAACGGCCCCCGCTGCCTTGGCCCTGGCCCAGGCTGGCCGGGAAGGAGCCAATGTACAATTTTGTGGTGGCCATCTTGGCACTTGCCCCGGTGGACCATGCTTTGGCACTTGCCCCAATCCCACCCCCTTCTGCCAGAGACCCTCAGATCTGTCCCACTCCTACCCAGGCCCCCACAGGCACCCTTGACCCGAATGATGTAGAACTGGCCACGCCCACCCAGTAGACCACACCCACTCCATCCACGCCCACCCAGTAGGCTGCACCCACTCTGGCCACGCACACCCGGCCCCCCAAGGGCAACCACAATACTGATGCGGCCCTCAGTGAAACTGAGTTTGACACCCCTGTTCTACATATTGAAAAGAGTAAAAATAGGTTGGGAGAAAAGTGGAAACCTGCCGAGCGATATCGATTTTAGTACTCTAGGGCAGTGATGGCGAACCTTTTAGAGACCGAGTGCCCAAAAACTGGACCCACCCCCGCTCCACCCCCTGTCGTGCCCCCCCTTCAGCCCCACACTATCCCCCACCCCACCTGCCCACAGGGCCACTCACCGCCTCCAGGGCCCACCACAGATCACCCAGGCAGCCCAGCAGCGCCATGGCGGCCACGTGCCCTGCAGCATCAACTGTGCGCAATGGGGCGTGAGGGATGAGTCTTGTCTACGCTTCCTGGCTGCCATGTCCTTGGCTGCACTGCTCCGCGTGGGCCACACTCAGGGGCGACTCCCCTTCAGGGGGGCTGCTGGTGAGGAGGGGGTCGTGGGGGGAGGCGAGGCTGGGGCAATGGCACGTGTGCCCACAGAGAGCGCTCCGAGTGCCGCCTCTGGCACCCATGCCATAGGTTCGCCACCACTGCTCTAGGGCGATTACAGCCCAACATTTGCCTATGGATTTTCCTTGGGGAAGACAAGGAGAAGGATGGAAACAGAGGGGAACTCACTGTAATTCAGGACGAGTAAGCACAGACAAACAATAAAGATTATTTTTTTCTGGCCTCTGTGTTTACAAGAAGCAGCTTAAACCGCAGATTTGTGTTTTTTTCCGGAAACACCCCAAACTGTCTGCACTCACAACCTTGGAAGCATTCCTGAGACTAAACAGAGGACAGACACAGAAAACCCACTGAATTGTGACTGCAGAGTTTAATTCGAGCCTCATATATGAGGACCATAAGCATCAGTTTACATTGCACTGGTATTCCTTACTATAATCTGCATAAGTGAGGGCCAATTTTGTCCAATGGTTAAAAACGTTGGCCTGGAAGCCCAGAGGTGATGAGTTCTAATTCCACCTGAGGCATGAAAACTGTCTGGGTGACTTTGGGCCGGTCACTCTCTTTCAGTCCACCCTGTCCCAGGGAAGTGCTGTAAAAAAAATAGGCCAAGGCATGACAGGCAGGTCAAGATTTATGTAAAAAAGATGCTGAGACTCTAGAAAGAGTGCAGAGAAGAGCAACAAAGATGATCAGGGGACTGGAGGCTAAAACATACAAGGAACGGCTGCTGGAATTGGGTATGTCTAGTTTAATGAAGAGAAGGACGAGGGGGGACATGATGGCAGTGTTCTAGTATCTCAGGGGCTGCCCCAAAGAAGAGGGAGTCAAGCTATTCTCCAAAGCGCCGGAAGGCAGGACAAGAAGCAACGGATGGAAACTAAAGGAGAGAAGCAACCTGGAACTAAGGAGAATCTTCCTGACAGTTAGAACAATTAATCAGTGGAACCACCTGCCTCCAGAAGATGTGAATGCTCCAACACTGGAAGTTTTTAAGAAGAGACTGGACAGCCATTTGTCTGAAATGGTATAGGGTTTCCTGCCTGAGCAGGGGGTTGACTAGATGACCTCCAAGGTCCCATCATCATCATCATCATCATTAATATTACCTCTAGAACGTCAATCCTTGGGTGCTCACTAGGGAGAACACTAAGTTGCCACAATGGTTTTACAATAATACAGGTAATCCAGTCATTCATGTGGTGACCATTCAAAGTTACAATTAAAGTGACTGCAACAAAGTCACTCAAGTGACAAAGGGATTTATGACCACGTTTGACACTTATGACCGTTGCAGCATCCCCGGGGCGATGTGATCAAAATTCAGATGCTTGGCAATTGGTTCTCATTTATGACAGCTGGAGTGTCCCGGGGGGGGTCACGCGATCCCCTTTTGCCACCTTCCGGCAAGCAAACTCAATGGGGGAAGCCAGATCCACTTAATAACCGGGTTATCAACTTATCAATGGCAGGGATTCACTTAACAATTGAGGCGAGAAAGGTCGTAAAACCGGGGATAAACTCAACTTAAAAAACGGTCTCACTTAGCGACAGAATTTTGGGGCTCCATTGTAGCTGTTAAGTCAAGCACTGCCTGTGCAACTTTTCCTTCTTGCAAACAGGAGCCGTTTTATCAATGTAACTATATATCAGGGGTGTCAAACTCAATTTCATTGAGGGCCGCATCAGCATTGTGGTTGTCCTCGGGGGGGGCGGGTAGGTGTGGCCAGGGTGGGCGCAGCCTACTGGGTGGCCGTGGCTGGAGTGGGTGTGGCCTGCTGGGTAGGCGTGGCCAGCTCTACATCATTCGCGTCAAGGGTGCCTGTGGGGGCCTGGGCAGGAGTGGGACAGATCTGGGGGTCTCTTGCAGAAGGGGGTGGGACCGGGGCAAGCGCCAAGGCATGGTCCACTGGAAGAGCCTGCCGAAACCCCTCCCCCGGAGCCCATCAAGCCAGATATGTGAAGTAGGCGAGGGCCATTTGCTGGCCACTTCCAGGCGATGGTGCATTTCTTCATTCCTCACAAAGGGTGACACCTCCCCAGCATGCACCCAGGGGGCGAGGACGACGCGGCAGGGGCTGGTCCCTTGATGTTTCCAGACGGCCCTTGTGGAGCTAAGACTGAATGCGTTTCAGCATAGATGGCCACCACAAAATTGTACATTGGCTCGCTCTCGGCCGGCCTGGGCCAAGGCAGCGGGGGCCCTTCCCTCATTGTTTCCAGGATGGCTTCGCGGGCCACATGAAACCACGTTGCGGGCCGCCTCCGGCCCCCGGGCCTTGTGTTTGACATGTCTGCTATATATACTTATCGATCAAGAGCGAAAGGCCAACCGTTCGGAGGCTTTCCGGAGAAGCAAAATGCAACGGGGTATCCATTTTAAAAATAAAACTCGTTTATTGACCATCGGCTGCTTTTTGTTTTAATGGAAGGGGAAGGGAAGAGTTCCCTGCATTTTGTCCCTTTCCCCAAAGTGGCAAATTAACACAGATATGACACCCAGCTTCACAACATCAAACAAAAGAATTGGGGGGGGGGGGAGAGAGAGAAAAAAAAAGCATAAATGAGCACTCACTTGTGGTGCCTTATCTGTTGTATTGAAAACCTCTTGGCTGGGTCGTATTCAAGCATTCCTGGAAAGGAAGAAAAACAGGGCAGGAACTGGATCAGCTGGGAACCGAGGCACAGACAACTGGTAAAGGAGAGGGCCAAAATCCTCCTCCTCCCTCCCCCCTCCAAGGAACATGAAAGAGTGGCTACGCTTGGAATCCTGGGAGATGTAGTCCGAACGTATCTGGTGGGTACCATTATTGGGGAGGGCAGCTCAATATACAGGAGCCTCATCCAACAGGAATGAGCTTAAAAAGTTTCCAAGAACATTTCAAAACTTTGTTTGGGGAGAGGCAGGCATAGGATATACGCTTCACCTTGGCTGTTCCCAAACCAAAACACACAACTCTTTCTTTTTAAAAAAGCACCTGCTGGACCCAACTAGTCTCCCCGGGGGCTGTTTCTCCAGCGAGTGGCATTTGGTGGTACATTGCTCCTGAAGATGGGGGCTCCATTTGGATGAGGAATCACAGTGGACTTCTGCTTTCATATGGATCTTGTCTGAATGAAAAAAAGGGCCAGGGGTGACATGATAGCGGTCTTCCAATATTTGAGGGGCTGCCCCAAAGGAGGGGGGGGGGTCAAGCTATTCTCCAAAGCGTCTCAAGGCAGGACAAGAAGCAACGGATGGAAACTAATCAAGGAGAGAAGCAACCTAGAACTAAGGAGAAACTTCCTAACACTGAGAACAATTAACCAGCGGAACAGCCTGCCTCAAGAGGTTGTGGGTGCTCCAACACTGGAGGTTTTAAAGAAGAGATTGGACAGCCGTTTGTCTGAAATGGTATAGGTTTCCTGCCTGAGCAGGGGGTTGGACTAGAAGACCTCCAAGGTCCCGTCCAATTCTGTTAATCTGTTATTCTGAGTCCACTTAATCCCTTGACCAAGCCATCTGAGCTGAAGTGGTGAATGCTCCAACACTGGAAGTTTTTAAGAAGAGACTGGACAGCCATTTGTCTGAAATGATATAGGGTTTCCTGCCTGAGCAGGGGGTTGGACTAGATGACCTCCAAGGTCCCTTCCAACTTTATTACTATTATTATTATTATTATTATTATTATTATTATTATTATTATTATTATTATTATTATTATTATTATTATTATTATTATTACCACCACCACCCAGCCATCAAACTGTGCATTTTGGTTCTTGATCACCCGGACAAAGAATCAAATGTCTCTTCTGAATTTTCAAGATTCTCGAGGCACGCAGAGAGGGGATCAAGCTAGCTGGGGCGTTCGGCAGGCAAGATATAAAAAGAAAAAGTCCAACGGGCCAAGACTTGGGTCAATTAAAGTACCGCTGTTTTACACTGCTTTGCAGAACCCAAAACAAGAAAATTTGCTTTTCGCCCCCAGCAGGCCCAAAGTGGTTCAGAGGGCCAGCTAGTAAATGCCTGCTCATTCCATTAACTCCCTTCTTCTTCTTCTTTTTTCTGCAGCACTTCAGCATTTGCCAAAGAGGTTTTGGCTGCAGGCAATGGTGGGACAAAATAATCGAGTGGGTTAAGTGCTGTGTGAGGCCACCATCGGCTGTCGCTACCCTTCTGTCCAGGCCATGTATTCTGCTCAGCAAGTAAGGTGCTTATCTTGTGGAAATCTTCCGTGCTCTATTGCTTCAATTTCCTAACTCGCTAGAGTCAAATACATTTTTGAGCCTGGTAAATACAGTCTCTGGTAAACGCCCTTCTTCAATTTTCACTGAGGGCCGTGCTGCCTGGGGGATATTGAGAGTAGAAGTCTACACATCTGAACAGAAGCTAAGCCTCTTTGGGGTCCTCAACAAAGATTTTCTGATTGCTTTTTAAAGGCGAGAAGATGCTAGAAAGGGCGCAGGGAAGAACAGCAACCATAATAAGGGGTCTGGAGGCTAAATTGTACAATGAATGGCTAAGGCAGCGTTAGGCAACCTTGCCTCTTTTATGACTCGTGGACTTCAACTCCCAGAATTCCTGAGCCAGCCACGCTGAGGGGACAGGGAGAGGTTTCCATGCTGAGCCATGCTGGCTCAGGAATTCTGGGAGTTGAAGTCCACCAGTCCTAAAAGAGCCAAGGTTGCCTACCCTTATCCTAGGACGAAGATTAAGAGCAGGGGTCTTCAAACTTGCCCCTTTTATGACTCGTGGACTTCAACTCCCAGAATTCCTGAGCCAGCCATGCTGAGGGGAAAGGGAGAGGTTTCCAAGCTGAGCCATGCTGGCTGAGGAATTCTGGGAGTTGAAGTCCACGAGTCCTAAAAGAGCCAAGGTTGCCTACCCCTGGGCTAAGGGAACTAGGTAGGTTTAGCCTAAGGAAGAGAAGGCGTAAGGGTGACATGACAGCTGTCTTCTAGTACTGTCACAGAGAAGAAAGGATTGACCTATTCTCCAAACACCGGAGGACAGAACACAAAGTCATGGGTGGAAGATGATTAAAGGGAGACCCCAACCTAGAATTAAGGAGAGGTTTTCTGAGTGAGAATGATTAATCAGTGAAAAGGTTTGCTTCCTGAAGTGGGGGGGGGTGCTTTATTGCCGGAGGTTTTCAAGAAGAGACTGGACAGCCATTTGTCTAGGACAGGGGTCTTCAAACTGGGCCCTTTTGTGACTTGTGGACTTCAACTCCCGGAATTCCTCAGCCAACGTGCCTGGCTGAGGAATTCTGGGAGTTGAAGTCCACAAGTCACAAAAGGGCCAGGTCTGAAGACCCCTGGTCTAGGATGGTATGAGGACTCCTGTCTTGGGCAGGGGGTTCGACTAGAAGACCTCCAAGGTCCCTTCCACCTCTATGATTCTATGAGAGAAGCTTAAACAACTGACTCTCCTGTTACTGGTCTCTTAAAGAACGCAAGCAGCTGCCCCTATGATCGGTGGGCCTGGCTCGACCAATTCACCTTTCCCAATATGCCAGATCTACTGGATCTATTCCGAAGGCTTCAGCAGGATCAGAAGATGTCAGGATATGAACCAGAATTCATATACAGGCATACTGCCTGATCCCTATTTATCTGCCTCGTAATCCACTTAGTCTAGTATTCTTTACTGCGTTTAAATATTTCCCAAACGTGTCTAAAATCAGGTTGACTCTCTCAAGACACACCCCTTCATTTAGAAGCAATTAGTGCTTACTTTGCTACTCTCCACAGGCAGCTTCTGGCCTCTCCCTTCTTGGTTAAATTTTTACTGGCTGCGCATAAACGCCTTTAAATAGTAACTTGGGAAGCACAATTAGGTTTTAGACTGGAAATGGTGGTTGTTTTTTTTAAAAAAGATGTGCCCTCGTTGCAAGGGGTCACCAGGGCTTCTATCAAGAAACAGCATCGGGGGGGGTGGGTGGGTTTCACCCCGGGGCAATTAAAGCTTTTAGAGAATAACTAGATTTGATCTTTGGCTAACGAACTGGCCAAATATTTACCACGGCAGAGCAGAAACTGCTGCTGGCTCCTTTGTGGCGTCAGGAGCTTCCCACACATCTATCTGGCTGGGGAGAGGACTTTGATCTCCAGCTTTTTCTTTTCCACTTGACACACCTTTCATGACTGCAGTTTGTACTCCCCGAGGGCCTTGGGAGAGCAACCAGTGTTCCCGAAACCCAATGCAGATGGGCTGGGCGGTTCGGTTCGGTTCCCTTTGCTCCAGGCCAGGCAAGGGAAGAGTCATGCACTGGGGGAAAAAAATGCATGGGGGGGAGGAGGAGGAGGAGGGGGAACCCCCTGAAGCCATTAGAAACTTGCAGGCAGTAGCTTGCCTCTCCGTGCATGCAAAATGTTGGAAGTTCACAAAGGAAAAAGAAAGGAAGGCTTCCCTTTCCGTTGGTCACCTCTTCCCTTTAAGAAAATAAAAAAGTAATCTGCCACTAGGAAAAGAAAAAGAAAAGAAAGAAAGCTTTCTGTTTAGTCCCTTCTTCACACTGGCAACTCAGCTTCTTAGTTGGGAACCGCAGCCGAGGCCCAGAAGGGCTGTCTTGAAGAGGCCCCGGTGGCTTGCTTCTCGCTGCTTATGGGGCTCGTTCACAAGACACCTTTGAGCACGCAGGTCATGACAAGCGCAAGGAGGAAGAGGCATCAATTGCTTTGCCTTCTCCGTCTAGCTCCATTTTTCTCAACCTTGTGAACTTTTAAGATGGGTGGACTTCAACTCTCTCCCCCTCCCTCCCTCCCCTCTTCTCTCTCTCCCCTCCCTCTCTCTCCTTTTCTCTCTCCCCTCCCTCTTCTTCTCTCCCCTTCTCTCTCCCTCCCTTTCCTTCTCTCCCCCTCCCTCCCTCCCCTCTTCTCTCTCCCCTCCCTCTCTCCTTTTCTCTCCCCTTCTCTCTC